TGTGCGGCTGCTTGTACTAACACAGACTTAATCTGGTTTTAGAGTGCTAGCCCACTGAGATACCATGCCGCAGTGAAGCATGAATACCCCACTCAGACACATTATACTGACTCCGAGCCGACCAGTCCTTGATGTACCCATTAATGCCGAGCGCCAAACAGGGACCAACAAGTACCATATTTTAACGTCTTTTGGTATGACGCGATCGGGGATCGAACCCGCGACCTTCCGCTCTCCGGGCGGACGCTCTAACCACTAAACCACGGAGGCGGTCTGCGATAAAGATAATGGAGATCGATAATCGTTAACTCAATAGAAATCGATTATCGATAAATATCGGAAACGTAGATTTGAGCAAAAATGTCTGAAAAAATTAATATAATTTACATCACTGGTAAGTGGCGACATGCTTTTGCATGGGTTATTAACAAAAAAGCGTCCTGAAAATAATTTAGAAGCAAGCCTTGAATACAGTCCTAAAAGTATATTGTGTGAAATATTTAACCTTTTTTCTATCAAAAAAGTTGATATACGATGTTATCGATGACACATTCAATTTTCATTTCGATATTCGTTAAAACTATTTCCTATCGAGGATATTTTCAATTATTGATCATTTTAGTCAGCCGTATTGTACATCTACTTTCAAAAGATGACAAGGCTTGTTGTACATTTCATCGCCACTGGCTATGTCATTGTACACCTACCTTGAACAGATTACATTGAATGTTGTACATTTCATCCCCACGGTCAGCACGCTGGATGGTGTTTACGACGATAGGTACAGAATCTAAGAATAAGGGTGAGTGAGTCAGTGAGTGTGGTTTTACACCGCTTTTAGCAATATTCCAGCAATATAGAAATAGGCACCAGAAATGGCTTCACACATTGTACCCATGTAGGGAATCGAACCCGGGTCTTCGGCGTGACGAGCGAGCGCTTCAACTACTAGACTACCCCACCACCTTGTGAATCAGAAGAAATCATCAAACTGATTTAAATAAATACATACGTACTGTCACAATCTGGCTGCACTACAATGAACATAATTTACACTAAAATGAAAATTTTCTGTCATGTGTAGTCGTTCAACGAAGCGATCTCAACATGCTTTTAGATTATATGGTTCGAGTTTACAGACGCACACATGGTTCGAGATTAGCTATACACACACGGTTCGAGATTTCAGATGTATCCCGGATCTCTTTCAAAACAAACATTTCTCGGATCGTGTTGCCTTGTGAAGATAACGTAAAACAAAACATAATTACTTTAGGATCCGAGACGGGTCTTTGTAGCATTGTCGCACTTTGCGAAACTTAAAGAAATATTCAACGCAGCGATTTATTTATCCAAGGTGAGTGATACATGAGAGTATGGCAATCTTTCATGCCATCTTTCATTACTGTTATATATGTTCGTAATCGTTGGTGATTCTCCATCATCACCATAATTCTGAAAACATCTTTCGACTTGTGAAGATCCGGGTGAGAATTTGTCCTCAACAACCCATGCTTGTCGTAAGAAGAGACTAACGGGATCGGGTGGTCAGGCTCGCTGACTTGGTTGACACATGTCATCGTATCCAAAGTGCATAGATCAATGCTCATGTTAATCACTGAATTGTCTGGTTTGACTGGATAACAGGAATATTGCTGAGGTAAACAACAAACAAAAACAAAGAAACAGACAGAAACATAAAGAAAAACGTCTTTTTATGCGTGGTTCAAGAACATCTGGTGTTAGCGATGAGTGTCAGTTGTCCATTCACATATTTTTCACTGCATTTTCACTTTTACGTCCATTCAAATCTCTTTTTACCAGATTATAGAGACTGCTTATTCTCGACTTATTTAAATACATTTGACAATACAAGCTAGAAAAGTAGAAGGTAATGAAGCATACAACCTTTAGATGACAATTTCTTTTTTATTGCAGAGAGCGACGTTTCGGTTTAGATTCTTATACCGAAACGTCGCACCCTATATAGAAGAAATATATAGAAGAAACTGTCACCTAAAAGTTGTATGCTCATTACTGACTCACCAACTTGTCGATCAAACAATTAAACTTGTAAAAGTATTCGCCATATTTATATGTCATATGATTATAAAACTTTTAATTTATTGGCACATGTTCTATACCATACCCTGAAAACCGTCTTCATGAGGAACCGTGAATGCCAGTCTTGGATTGTCTTGCAGTATCTGCGCATCGGATTCATCATCTCTGGAACCTCCCTTCCACTCCCCGAATATCCTCAAAACGTAATCTTTGAAAGATTAAAAGAGTGAGTGAGCATGTTTTACGCCACTTTTAGCAATATTCCAGCAATAGCACGTCGTCATATTAGCGAAATATTCTCAAGCACGACGTAAAACCCAATTTCACCTCACCTCACCTCCAGCAATAGCATGAATGGTAATCATGTGTGGAATCAATTTAGGAAATTACTAAATTAGGATAGGTAACCATGATCATGAGTAATTAAGATGGAAAACATTTTTACAAATGTCTTGAAACTTACGTAACTGCTCGGTTTGTCCATTAATGTCGAAATCGGGGGTTAGAGAACACACAGTCGTAATGAAGAAAATATCTCTGAAATCTCCGCAGTGCCATCCAGAACACCCTGTCCTCTTTGTCCCTCTAAGAGGTTTTTCCTGTCCAAACTGTTAACTTCTTCCAATTAGGGACTCCTGGAAACCATGGCAACATGTGTAAATACTAAAACTGAATCAAAATGGAAATGAAAGGAATTGGAGAACAATGTAAGTAGGGCTTGCTAAAATGATCGGTTATCGGAAATATCATCGATAGGAAATATAATAAATCATTATCGATATGAAATTGCGTTATCCATAATATATATTGATTGTTAGCTTATGTGACAGAATCTCACACAATATACAAATATTTAGGACTTTATTCATGGCCCGTTTCTCAAGGCGCCATTTTGTGAATAGTCCATGCAAAAACATGTCTCCACTCACCAGTGATGTGAAATATATTAATTTCTTCCGGACATTTTTGCTCAAAGTTACGCCTCCGATATTTATCGATGATCGATTGATAGTTAGTTGATTATTGATCTTTATTACCCATACGGGTGAGGAGATCCCGTGTAACATCTTTTTGATATTTGCACAGTGTGCAATTTAGTGATTCTCGACGTTGATTGGTTGATCGTATATTTGTACATTTTCATTGGATGCCGGAACTACTTTCACACACTACGTTCATTCATAAAGTTTCATCGATTCATTGATAAATTGACATTAAGTAATGTAATCACACATTCCGAGATCTAAAAAAGAAAACATTAAGGTTAAAGAATATGAATATTCTTTTTATTAGACGTTATTATTTTGGAATAAAACTGCGTTATAAATAGTAGTCTTTTTAAATTATATAATCTTTAAAAAACACACCAAACAATCGTTTGCATTGTTTGTAAACAAACATGGCCGCCGTTAGGCTAACCCCGATCAAGGTCATTTACCTAGTTAAAGTTGACGGTGACCAAATAGGAAGAGAGATAAGAATTTAAAAGGCCTTGAATTCCCAAAACCTGTTTGTTGTTGAAACTGAATTCGGGGAAATAGAAACAGCAAGATACCGACTAAAGATGTCATCTGAAAGTGTAACAAGTAAGTCGGACACGGCGTCCATGCCATCGAACCAGAAAACAGCTCCTTTCTTACCGGAATCAGTGCTAAATGTTCTTCTTCAAGATGACTTTTTATATCCATGCATTCCTAATCAATCTGAGAGGTTGGTCCTAGTAGAATCGGATTCCGACTAGAGTTATCCTTCTTGGAACTGCTGTACTCTACTAAGACGAGAGTGTAACACGCCTTCCACAGAACAAAATGTTGTTTAATCTTCAAACTTGGTGAGTTTCTTGACAGAAATCTTTTTCTAGATGTATTCGTGGGATGGTTGTCTTTTAGATTTCCCAACTTTTAACCGTTGACTTTCCCAAAAATTGACAGGTTTTTGCCAGAGTGTGTTTCAACACTACACCGTCACCCGTCACTAGAAAACACGTCAGTCATGAATGAACGATGTTCCGTCGAACTGACTTGATCGAATAATGTTTAGCTCTTATTAAGTTCAATGATATATTTCAAAGATCATTTTTATCATATTAACAAATGTTAATTAATTATTCCAGGCATAATAATTTTGTTGTATTTTAAAGCGATTTTATGATGTACTATTTCCATAGCGTAGTTATGTTATTACCGCTGGAGAAGTTAGGTTTAATACGCGCATGAATACGAATCAGCTGTTTAAGGTCACAAGTCCTGTCTCCGGGTGGTTTTTATTTCGTGGTTCTTCCTTTTAAATGGGTAATAAATAGAATATCAACGAGGTACGAGGATTATGAATATGCTCGTTAAAATAATGTTCAGTGCCTCGCCAAGGCTCGGCACTGTGAACATTATTTCAACTCGGGCATATTTCCCGTAATCACTCGTACCTCGTTGGTTATTCTCTAATTATTATCCATATCGATGGTCAGCCCTAAATGTTAGTAGATGCCTGTTTCGCAATACAGCATTGGTTACCTAATAGATAAACGGCTATCTGTTGACAGTCGTCTCAATCTCATAGTTTTTTATCAAATGTTATCATTGCATCATCACGATATGGCTGAAATATTGCCGATGTGACGATAAATTTTAACTCACTCACTCAGTTAACTCACTATCATTATACCAAAGGGTAGAATACTGTATATCCAAGTGTGTTCAATTCCTTTTAATGGAAAAAGTGTGTGAATATTATGTGCAACGCGCTAAAGCAGTTCCAATTAAATGAAATAATTGCAGATTGAGCCCAGTGACCAAACGTCGAAACAGCCGATCACATATTGTCATAATTGAACACAAATGTATGTGAAATGTGGATAAATCCGAACGGTTTCGTATGTTGCTGGAACACACCCGAGAAACATAACCGGATTGTATGAATTATTTACAGACCAATCTCTTATAGCTGGTCAATGGCTAAGTGTAAACAATATGCAAACAAAGAAATCCAGAATCAAATATCTCATAAAATACCAACTTGTCACTCCACTTTCCTGTCCATTCATCCGACCCCCATGGGTTGCGCATCTGCAAGAGGAAAACCCTCTTCCCGTTCTTTTTCGTTATCTTTGAAAAAAGAACACGAAGTTAGAGTGAGTGAGTGTCTTCCTCATAGTCTGGTCGGAGTGATGCGTGATACAAAGTTAGTATTACAAGCTCCAGGTTCCGTTTTGCTTTGTAGCTATGTTATAACGTGGTATTTCTTATCTTCGCCCATTATGTAAGTAGAAAAGACGTATTCCACATCCGTTGGAATCTCTGCTAAAAACAGAGTAGAATGTACCATTCTGACTGTATCGTGAGTTGGTTGGTTGGTTTAATATTTAAACCATTTGGACCAGACAATCCAGTGATTAACAACATGAGTATCGATCTACGCGATTATACAATTGGGACAAAACGATGACATGTGTTAACCAAGTCAGCGACCCTGACCATCAGATGCCCTTACTCGCTTCTTTACAACAAACATGGGTTGCTTAAGGTCAATTCTGACCCCGATCTTCTAAAGGATAATATCCCGACGCGGTTGCATGGCTGCTGGGTGAGACGAATGAATGTTGTTTTATAACAAATATATAATGGCAGCCACTAATCCAGCCTGGATTACACAATAAGGATAATTACTCATGACATGTTATCCAGACACTGGATGGCATTCAATCAGTTGAATCACCGAGTCTGACCAATGGATCAAATGTAATCAGCTTTTCTCATCACTATCTCTGCCCCGGAATCAACGCATTGGTGATAACACGTTTTATGTATATACATCTGTCATCATGAATCAGCCACTAGTCATATTTACCTCATGTGCACTAATCAGAGAGTAGGCGTGACCTGGAACTATTCCGTTTGATAATGACGTGCCCTGGAAGTTGCAGGGAACGTTTTATAACGGAGACAGTTTTTTTTATTATTCATTATTTCTCCGCATTTAATAAATATCTCAGCAAAGGTACACACCTATGCCATTCTCAAATTGTCAAACTGCTTTTGGTTCATGCAAGATAACACATGATAAACACAAGTATAGTTACATATAGCACATGTTTTGATGCTATCACCAGTTGGTATTCATTCACAAAGAAATCGTAAGAGTTAATATGGTTGGTTGGTTGTTGGTTAAATCCACACTCAGCAATATTCCAGCTACATGGCGGAGGCCACGACCAGACAATCCAGTGATCAATATCATCAGCATCGATCTACGCAATAGGGATACGATGACATGTGTCAACCAAGTCAGCGAGCCTGACCACCCAATCTCGCTGGCCACTTCTTAAGACAAGCAAATACGAATTATGAACATTTACAATGACTTTGCCATATGAAAGTCAAGACATAGAAACAAGGAACCTACTGATTTCGTGGAGCAAGTCACAAAGGCTCCACACTTCAGTGCATTGACTATACGTTGAAACAGGACGCTGTGATTGGTGTATTCCATCACTACCGTCTCTGGCACACCTCCTGTCAATGCTAGATAGGCATCACTTGGCATGCCACCTTCAGCAACACTGTACGAGTCGTGACATTTGTTCAAAAAGACATACTGAGGCATATAAAAATAAGTATATTGAACCTACATATTGGGCGAAGGTTATCAATATATGTTGAAATATATATTTCCAGGGGGATCAGTATGTTCAGCAGTTTCATTATTCAAGTTGCAATGAACATTACAAAGCACAGTGAACATGGTACAATGAACACCCAAGGTACACTGATCATCCAAGGTGCAGTGAACATCCAAGGTACAGTGAACACCCAAGGTACGGTTTACACCCAAAGTGCAGTGAACATCCAAGGTACAGTGAACATCCAAGGTACAGTGAACATCCAAGGAACACTGAACACCCAAAGTGCAGTGAACATCCAAGGTACAGTGAACATCCAAAGTACAGTGAAAACCCAAGCTACAATGAACAGCCAAGGTACAGTGAGCAACCAAGGTACAGTGAACATGGTTCCATGAACACCCAATGTACAGCGAACACCCATTGTACAGTGAACAACCAAGGTACAGTGAACATCCAAGGTACAGTGAACACCCAAAGTACAGAGAACATACAAAGTACAGTGAACATCCAAGCTACAGTGAACATCAAAGGTACAGAGAACACCCAAGGTATATTGGTAAGAGTATACAATAAATAATCATATATAGAATTGGAATGCTCCAACATGGAATTTAAATGTGGTAATGGTTTTGCTATGCATCCTTCATGTCAATGAAGATATTAAACGTTTATCGAACAAGTTTTATTAAAGGCATTTAGAAGTGACAAACATAAAGGCGAAACATTATGTATACAGTATATGTGAACTTCTTTAGGTTGAGGAAAACAACGTTTCGGGATATATTCTAAATTCTTCATCAGATAAATGTTTAATGAAGGAGTAGCAACATATCTCGAAGCATCGTGTTCCTCAACATAAGACGTTGACATCCATAATTGTGTTGCCTTTAATTCTTTTTGTCTGCAAGTATTAGCCAGAGGCAACCAATCTCGGATATCCGAGGGAACATAGCGGTAGCACTCAATGATAAAGTAAAGATCAGGCCTGGCACGTTGCTGTAAACTTTAGAAGATGTTGCTATTAGGATTGGCTAACATTATCCATAATCGGAAATATCGTCGATGGGAATATTATCAATGATTGTGGATATGAAAATTTGTGCTCTCGTGAATATCGTATATATATTTGGTGATCTTTTAAATTATTTTTCTCACACAATATATCAATTTAGGTCTGCTCCTAAATTATGTTCAGGATGCTGTTTTGTTAGTAATCCTTTCAAAAAAGATGTCACCACTCACCAGTGATGTGAAATATATTCATTTCTGTCTGACATGCTTTGGCATTATTGCTAAAAGTTACGTCTCCGATACTTTTTGAAAATCGATCGATATTTAGTTAACGATTATCTATCTCTATAATCTATATCGAAAGCCAGTCCTAGTTGTTATCCATTAACGTTTTCTGACTTACCCTGCAAGAGCCTTCTCCATCAGCGAAACCCACATTTCGTTAGTTCCTGATTTTGACTGAGCTCCGAATAATTCATTTGGTCCTTTTACTACAGGCAGGATATCATCAGTGTATACGTCCTCCCATTCCCCGAACCTCCACAGTCTGCAGTGGAAGATTCCGTCTGTCTTGGGCTTGAAGGCATTCTTGTCAATCACCTGAAATTTAATGGCATCAAGTATCAATTTGTTTCAAATTTAGTAAATTACGAATAATGAACACGTTTATATGACCAACTGTAGATGGTTTGGTTTGGTTCGGTTAATGTTGTAATGCAAGAGGTGAGCTGAAATTGGGTTTAACGTCGTGCTTGAGAATATTTCGCTCATATGACGACGTGCATGCGTGTGTATGTGTATGTGCGGCTGCTTGTACTAGCCCAGACTGAAGCTGGTTTTATAGTGCTAGCCCACTGAGATACCATGCCGCAGTGAAGCATGAATACCCCACTCAGACACATCATACTGACTCCGAGCAGACCAGTCCTTGCTGTACCCAATAATGCCGAACGCCAGGCAGCGACCAACAAGTACCATATTTTAACGTCTTTTGGTATGACGCGATCGGGGATTGAACCCGCGACCTTCCGCTCTCCGGGCGGACGCTCTAACCACTACACCGCGGAGGCGGTCTGTAATGCAAGACGGAACCTTTGTTATTGGACGAAAGGTATAGTACATCTGGTTCATACAATCAGATCAGAAACCCCGTGTATGCATTGCTTGGTTATTTGTTTAACGCCATACTCAGCAGTATTCCATCTATATTGCAGCGGTATGTAAATAATCCAGTCTGGGCCAGACAATCCAGTGATTAACAGCATGAGCATCGATCTGCGAATTAATGATTTTGGGAATCTTATTTTAGACAGCTTATACATGTATATGAGGGTTGGTTGTGTTAGATCAATTCTAACCCAGATCTTCACGGGTAGATTACGTGTGAGACTATGCGGTCATGTGGGAATGTACGGTGATGGAGCAATGGTATATCAGCACGTTTGTCTCAGGCTAGAAGAGCTAGTTTAGGAAACTTTGGTTCAACCGACGTTACGCCGAAATATATTAAAACCTGCATACCTATCACTTCTTATAGTATAAGACCGCCTCCGCGGTGTAGTGGTTAGAACGTTCGATCCCCGACCGCGTCATACCAAAAGACGTTAAAATATGGTACTTGTTGGTCGCTGTTTGGCGCTCGGCATTAATGGGTACAACAAGGACTGGTCTGCTCGGAGTCAGTATAATGTGTCTGAGTGGGGTATTCATGCTTCACTGCGGCATGGTATCTCAGTGAGCTGGCGCTATAAAACCAGCTTAAGTCTGGGCTAGTACAAGCAGCCGCACATACACATACACACGCATGCACGTCGTCATATGAGCGAAATATTCTCATGCACGACGTTAAACCCAATTTTACCTCACCTCACCTCACCTCTTACAGTATAAAATGCTGAAGAATACACGTAAAATCCAGAGATACCTTTTTCATGAGTTTCGGTTTTTCGGCGAGGTTTGCCAACATGGACAAGAACCAACATGTTCCAAACGTGCCTTGGTTGATATCTTCCATGCAAGCATCGCCATGAAACAGCACAGGGTCCGGGACTATCTCCTTTTATAACAAAACATTGGAGTAAGATGCATAGGTGAGTTAAGACGCTTATATGAATCACCGTATCATACTCCGTCCTGTGAATGAAATATGAAGTTTCAGTTTGTCTGTGGTATTAACGTCCTACTCAGTGAATGAATGAGTTTAGTTTGACGCCGCACTCTGCAATATTAGAGCAATCGATACATGTATGTTTGTATGGATGGATGTATGGATGGATGGATGGATGGATGATGTATGTATGGATGGATGCATGCATGTATGTAACTGTTGTCGTCATATATTACATTCTGTGACTGATTTCATTTTCTCTCACCACAAACCAGTTTCAGGACCTTATTCATTGCCTGCTTCCAAATTATGTCCAGGAATCTGTTTTGTTTATAATTCATGCAAAATCATGACGTGACGTGACGTGACATGACGTGACGTGACGTGACGTGAATATATTCATTTCTATCAGACATTTATGGCATTTTTGCTCACAGTTACCTCATTTATCGATAATCGATCGATATATAGTTGACGATTATCGATTTGTATTATCTATATCGATAACCAGTCCTTGATATGACTGCCGTCAAAAGTTAGCAAACCTATCGCCATCTTCATTCATGAAACACCAAATTAGGAAATCTATGAATGGTCAATTGAAACGAAACAAACATCAGCCTATCAGGATGATATGCTTTGCGATGTTTATTTTTTTGTAAAGCCAGGTGTCGAGCTACGTGGTAATAGTTGCAGGCAATACTCACATATGATCTCTTCCATTCTATTAGATGCGCAGTTTCATTAACGTTTATTATCGCCGGTTTATCGAAGTTGGGGTCTGTCCACTCCTGCCCAGGTGCAACCTCCGGACGTTCTGTCTTGCGTGGTACTGGGGCAGTCCTGAAGTCTCTCGTCCAGAACTGGAGTCCAGAACCTTCAGGATCTTCCTCGTAATTCATGCTTCGGTTTAGTAGTCACCTGGAACCTGTTAATTGTGTGTGTCACTTTGTACATAAATAAATAAATAATGTGCATCATTAGTTTACATGCAGACGAAAATACAGGATACATATTTGTACACATTTGAGTGAGTGGCTGAGTGAGGTTGGTTGAAAGGTTGTGTAAGTGGTTGAGTGAGTGGTTGTGTGAGTGGTTGAATGAGTGAGTGAGTGGTTGAGTGGCTGGTTGAGTGAGTGGTTGAGCGAGGTTGATTGAAAGGTTGAGTAAGTAGCTGAGTGGTTGAGTGAGTGGTTGTGTGAAAGGTTGAGTGAGTGGTTGTGTGAGTGGTTGAATGAGTGAGTGAGTGGTTGAGTGGCTGGTTGAGTGAGTGGTTGAGCGAGGTTGATTGAAAGATTGAGTAAGTAGCTGAGTGGTTGAGTGAGTGGTTGGATGAGTGGTTGAGTGAGTGGTTGAATGGTTCAGGGTTTGAATGGTTGAGTGGCTGGTTGAGTGAGTGGTTGTGTGAGTGGTTGAATGGTTGAGTGGATGGTTGAGTGAACGAGTGAATTTTTGAGTGAGTTGTTAAATGAGTTTTATCTAGTTTTATCTAGTTTTACCACAACATATTAGCTTAATGTTGAGAAAAGCCAGAAACAATGCATGTCTCAGAGGTTTGCCATCTTGGCATAAACCGCAATCACGGATATGGTCCTACAAAACCTGGAAACAAAATCGGGGCGAACCGGAATTCGAAACCACAATCATATGGACACAACTCTGCGGTGCTTTAGACGACTGAGGCACCCGTTCCCCGGGCCTGTTTCAAGAATCCCGTAGTGTTCCAGTTCCCGGTGGAAACTATGTAGTGTACAAAACCATCAGCTGACTGCTGTTCAACTTCCTTCAGCACTGTCTCAGATTATTAAATCGTCATATAGCCCTTCGTGTGTTTGTCAAAATTCACAAACCCATGAAGACCCGGGTCAGAGCTGTCTTCTTCAACCCATGATTGTCGTAAAAGGCGACGGGCGAGATTGAGTGGTCAGGCTCGGAACACATGTCATCGTATCCCATCTGCGTACATCGATACTCATGCTGTTGTTCACTGGATTGTCTGGCCCAGACTCGATTATTCATAGACCGCTGCCACATAGATGGAATATTGCTGAATGCAGCATTAAACAACAAACCATGCAAGCAATCATAATTCACAATCGAAGTTTGTGGTTTGTGCCAAGTTATATAATTATCATAAACATTTCCTTTTGGGTTGGGTGTTTGAAACATGGAAGTTCAGTTTAGTTGTTATTGTAGGGCTGGCTTTCGATATAGATAACAGAGATCGATAATCGTTAACTAAATATTGTAAATGGATCGGTTCACTCGAAACATTGTCAATGGATCGGTTCACTCAAAACATTTCCTATCCGTTATACCATTGAGCGAAATTACCTTTCAAACATTGATACTTTCAAGAATGTCATTCTGATCCTCCGATATTATCAATCTTGCAAATTTCGGTATTGTATATATTAAATATTCGGAATAGATCATTGGTTATAGAACACACTTGATATGGATGTGCAACTCCTTTGTTATTTACACACGACGTTTCTTGGCTATTACTTGCCCCTTTATCATTCACCTGATGAAGAGGCAGGCATTAGCCAAGAAACGTCGTAATTCACCTGATGAAGGAGCAAGTATTAGCCTAGTAACGTCTTGTGTAAATAATAAAGAAGTTGCACATCCATATCAAGTGCCTTGTATTACCCTACCAACTTCTAAATGCCTATCAAACATCTAGAACATGGGTTGCTGAAGATCAATTTCTAACCTGGATTTTCACAGGTCTTTAGCAAGTTTGATTGCACAACTAGCTCATGACACCTCGGGCATTGATGCGAGTCAAGGGAGCCTTCGATGATGCAAACTGTCGAGAGCATCATAAACAAAGATTACATGTGTAGTCGGAAAGTCACCCAACCATATCTTTGAAGAAAACCATATCTTTGAAGAGAACCATGTCTTTGAAGAGAACCATATCTTTGAAGAGAACCATATCTTTGAAGAGAACCATATCTTTGAAGAGAACCATGTCTTTGAAGGGGCCAAGGTGAAGGTTGAGCATTGAATCAGCGCATAATATAGAACAGCTAAAGTGTAGTTTGCTTCAGGCATGGATGCTACGTACCTGTCATACTGAGTGGAAAGGAATGTGGACATCACATTACTTGTGCTTGTAATATTTTATTGAGATTTGTAAGCCCAAAACTGAACTACTTTGCAACTAAAGCAAAACACTTTAAACTTCGATTGGTCTAAAATATTACAAAACTTATCTAATGTTACAAAGCTGACTACAATCGCCGAATGTCTGCAAATCCAAGGTCCCAAATGCCACTTGATACATGTTGTTCAATACACAACCATCGGAGAACTAAGTTAACGGGCAAACGAAACGATACCAAATCGAAATAACTGAAATTACAAAACAACAAACCACCATTGTGAAAAAGGACAGTGAATTTTAAAAAACAGGTGTATGGGCAACATGCACTCAGACTGACTCAGTCATGTCATTGGAGTGGCAACAATAACCAGTCCGTTTAGTCACTGTACATTAAGGATTGAAGTCCAAATTATCAAAGTAAATTTTGTATCGTTTCTTTCGTCCGTTAGTGTATTTACAGTGCTCAACGCAGCAATCATTATTTTCTGCAGCAGCTATTCATTGGAGTTTATATTGATAATATACCCTGCATATTAGCATGCATTAGCAACATGTACTTCTCGTTGTAAAGATGGTGTTGACAAATCTCATTGTATGGATGAATAAATCCATATATTGTCACCATGGGTAAGTGACAAGGGTCAAGTTACATATGACGTTTCACAAGTTATGTGCGGCTACGTGTCCTGGACGATCATGATTCCTCGGACAATGGGCAGTCCGTCTGTCTTTACAACTATCAGACACACACCTACCGTTATTTGAAGGCAAGTGTGTGTCACTTGCTATGCACTAGTTGAAAACCGCCCGCGTCAACGAAGCTACAAAATAATAAATATACTATCGCCTACACACGGACAAGTTCTTTCCCTATACCTGGACAGTGGACAGTCTGTTTTTGTGTACAATTATCACGCTGACCCTATCCACTGTTGGTGGTCACGGCTTTGCAACACCTTAAGTGCTAGTAGAATAACGAGAGACAGGACATTTATCGACTGAACATGGATGATTAGTTTCCTGCATTAATGATATAAAATGGTTTATCTATTCTCACAGATCACATAATGATTACTCTTAGACATAAGAATAACACGATTTTCCAACGAAGACCACCAGCAATAATTGATCCTTCACTTAAAACCCACTTCAAAGCATTTTAATAGAATACAGAGTTCATATAAACACACTCGAGATATATTAAATATTCAAATACAGGCTTTCATGTACATACGCACTTGACAAATTCAATGTAGAATGAACCAAACGTTACCTTAGCTTGTGACAGTTCTATCTGACTATAGCGTCTGTCACAGTCAAGTGTGTAGCTCATATATCCTGTTCAACGGCGGTTCTATATACATGCAATGCATTCCGGATCCCTGCGTCACACGACAGGTGACAGCTATTCATAGCCAACTGCCAAGGTATTCAGTCAGAGCATTAAATATGGAGTCTCAACCCAACAGAGCGTATAGTCTGCGTGGGGAGGTTAGTTTGTCGAAAAGCAGGTTATCATATGGATGTAGCGTGATAACACTACATCGAAACCTGTTTAAACAGTATATGACACTTAGATAGGGTACGAGCTTCATCTGACATACATTTTTGTATTACTCACCCGATGTTCTGTTCAATACCATACAGCTGTTGCATGCCCAGCAGGCACATCAAGGTTGTATATGAAAGTTTTTTAGACGTAGATGTCCGACGTGGAATCAACGTTGAAGTTTGACATACTATTAACGTTGAAAATGGGTTGTTCCGTGGTTGTATATGAAAGGTTTTTAGACGTAGATATCCGACGTGGAATCAACGTTGAAGTTTGACATATTATTAACGTTGAAAATGAGTTGTTCCGTGGTTGTGTCTGGGAGGTATCACGCTTTCCTGTAAATAGACTCGCACTTCATCTTTAAACTACACTAACGTAGCACCAAACTCATGCATCCAGCTAAAATAGCCAAAAAGCTACCTGCAACAAACAGTGTTCAAACATAAAATTGCAGTAAAAATATTTACCTGATAAAATACTTGGTTAAAATTCTACATTCAATATAATGTTCATTTAAGTTTTATGTCAGTTGGACGTATAATTCCAGTAAGAAGAAAAGAGTATTCCAAATTAATAAAGACTATTTACTGTTGTATTGTTATCTTGAAAAGGTGGAAATTGTCCCGAGAAGACATTTTGTCTGAATATCAGCTATTAGACAGACCCCTGAATAAACACAATGCAACTACTTTCACCATGAAAGGGTTCCAAGATGAACAGGAACTATACCTGAAGACAGCACATAAAACCAGTCACTGTTTATGAAATCTTTATGAACACAAACACACACAGAGAAACGTGGTTTAAAGCATAATGTAAAACATCACACATGACATAATCTGTAGGTGATCTCTGTTGTGATAATAACACAATATCATCTGCATATAGCATTAAACTGACATACAGCTTCTCTTCTTTCTGCCACTCCCTGCCTGGCGGTCAGGTGGATACTTCAGAAACGTTCCTAACTCTTTCTTGAAATTTGCTTTGGATGCATTCCCATCTCATTCCCATGAGATAGGACACATTCTGAAATTTTATATTTTAATACATGAATAATTTTATATGGAAGATATATTGTCTCAAATGATTCAAGTATTTGTTTAATCAATCACTTGAAAGGTTCATTTCACTGCTGTAACTTGCCATGTGAACATATGAACAGCATCAATACAAAATGTGACGAAAAATGTAAACAATTTATATTTTCAACTAAAGGAATGGAAGTTTTCTTAAACATTTTCAAAGAAAATCCTCAATTGCAAGTGGATTATTCAATAAGACTATGAATTAGACGATGCTTTATTGTCATATATTATTTGCTATGGTCATGATGAAAATGCTGCATTTGGTAATTAAATTACCCGAGATGATTGAATACAACCTTGTATTCTTAAAAGAAAACTTTTTGCCCATCAACATTCATTCTTGACATCAAATTGTTTGACATTGTCCTGCAAAACAATGGAAGATTGTTGTTATTCTGTCAGATTTAGTTTTCTTTAGAGATTCTCAGAAACGATTATTTCAAATTAAATAGGAGTTGTACTGATGTAGCAATTTAGCAGGAGTCATAAATTGTAACAAAAGCCATTTTACATTAAACGATAAGAAAACACAATGGGTGGTGGTTCACAGGTCAAAGAACAAGTCCATTGTGGGAGGTCTTCCAACACCATTTGTTCCCAAACACAAGGAAGTATGGATCATGGAGTTCTGAAAACAATAATGAGCTCTCATAAGTATACAATATATTCCCTATTATCTACTCTGATTCTCTTTGTCATTTGTACACTCATAAAACTCAGATAAATAACTTCTTCATAATTCAGAAATGTTTACACTTAATCTCTTATAGGAACGCTTAGAAAATCTCTCATATAATGAATTATGTTTGCCTATAATATCTGCGACGTCATAACTATGCTTCTCTGAATCATGAACAATAAAACAATGAGATTAAACTCTACACTGCCAGAAATAATCTATCATACCCTGAATAATATGACACTGAATAACATCTCTTACAACTCCGATCTACACTCAAAAAGACTTAAATGTACTCGTAAACAAACATCGCTGGCACACGCAAATTCTTGGAAACAGTGTATCTCTGACTCTCAATTCCAAGAAATGGAAGTCCTACTGTATTTGACCAAAGGGGTGACAGGTGGCCAAAACATATTGAAATGTAGGTCATACACTGAAAATAACTCTCTAATATACTCGATAGATGATCTTGACAAGGGAACATGTACATAAAATGCTGATATCTAACAATACCTGTACTCTAAATAATGGATTCTTCCAAATCTCAGTATGTTTCACTGCACACGCACTTAAATGCAAAATAATGAAAAACCTACACTTTGACAATAATAAAGAAACATCATATTCAAATTCTACAGCTGACCAAATACCTGAAGAGTGTGTCTCCCAGCAATAAACATCTATATATCTCTATAAATTTATGACTTTTGTCCTCTCGCGTGCTTTCTCGCATCCAGCTCTTTACGGCGAAAAACAATATGGCGCCAAGCAAGGGAGTGCTCATTAAACTAAACATCTCCGGGAGAAATCATTGTCAACTTATTCTCTTACATGATCAACCTTTGTGGTTGATATACTGGAAACAAGTGAAATGTTAAAAACTTGTTACCTTAGCATTGCTCCTTTTATGTGATCCACAAAATTGATGCCACCCAGTCTTCGAAGATGAGATTTTGGGGTGACGTTCGCTTCATTATCGATTAACCTGTCATGCATTCTTTGCATCATAAAGTAGACATTTACCCTATAAAGAGCAATTTGATGCAAACACCACCAATAATATTAACAAAAACGAAGCCTGAGGAAACATAATACTCATTCACTTGTCATTGATACAATGCCAGAACATCCTTGGAGGGTTTCAGCGATGGCCACTGGAAGTATTACTACCAAGTAACCTATTAAAAACCACCTACGTAGTACAACATAGGACACCTGATAACGAACGTGGGGTATCGAACTTCACACGGTCATTAAAACCTGAAAAAATGATGAGTTTAGGGGCTCGCTGAGGTAGGTCGTTAAGTCTCTGTCGCGCGCACTATCCGAAATGACGGTGCAACTGGCAATGACTGGGACTATAGTACCTATATTGTCTGTCTCATGTAACAGATAACAGCAATAGGAATTCAAAATTGTTATAAAAAGTCAGGCATTGATAGAGAAAGTCCTGATAATTTACAAATATACAAAAGGTAAGTGGTATTCAAGAAAAGGGTACCACAACTATAGTCATTTTAGCTGTGCATCAGGGTTATCTGGTTATAATTTTCATTAGTTGTTGAACGTCAGATAGCTTTTGTAAGATGATCGGCCATAATGTCCTGCTGCCCATTTATCATTCCCGTGGGCGGATCCAGGAATTTTGAAAAGGGGAGAGGAGGGAGGGGGGTCAGGGGGTTCGAACCCTGACACACAAACACCCCCCTTCTGGATCCGCGAATGATTCCAATATTTGTGAAACCAGCTCAACGCTTAAAACTAACAAGGATTCGGTAAGGCGAAGTACTTATCAAAGTCTAATGTCAACTTGGTTCATCTCAACCCATTCTGACCCGTGATGGTCCGGGTTAACCCATGCTTGTCGTAAGAGGGTTAGAAATGGTCTTAATAGGTGACTAACGGGATCGGGTGGTCAGACTCGCTGACATGATTGACACATGTCATCGGTTCCCAATTGCGTAGATCGATGCCCATGCTTTGATCACTGGATTGTCTGGTCCAGACTCGATTATTTACAGATTGCCGCCATCTAGCTGGAATATTGCTGAGTACGGTGTAAAATTATACTCACTCACTCACGCACTTCAACCCATTCTCCCTGCAAGACAGCGCCAAATTTCATTGAGTGTTATCGATGATTGTTGACGGTGACGATATCCCAGACATGCTCGGTGGGTGACAAGCCTGGACTGTGCGCTGGCCATGGCAAGATGGTTATGTTTTCCTGAGGGAATTATTCAGAAACAACACGAGTCCTGTGTGTTCTTGCGTTATCCCCATTTCTGGTGTCCCTCGCTGTGATGTTGCAGGAATATTGCTAAAAGCGGCGTAAAACAAAACTCAGTCAGTCAGTCAGTCTTGCGTTATCATCCTGAAACACAAGACCACGTCCATGTCCGCGCAAATGGCATCACGTGTGCCTCCAGGATGTTGTCACGGTAGTACTTCGAAGTTGCACCTGCGTAAATAACATGTAACGGTATTTTGCCAGTCACAGTGATCCCACCCCACAACATTACTGAGCCACCCCAATCGTGGCCAACGTAAACTGCATGACAGCAGCCATTCCGTCTACGCTACACTCGCTGCTCCTGTCACGGAAGTTCAAAATAAGCCCTGATTCATCCCAAAAACATCCCAAAAGGGAAGATTGACACCGGCGACATCTTGCAGTCATGTGACGCTCTATCAATCCCGTGATAACACATGGACGTCGGGCAGGTCGTATCTGAGAAGCTGATTACAAATAGTCTGCCCACTCACTCAAACACCTGTAGCTCTTTGAAGCTCACCTCCATTCTGGGGTGGTTAAGCTTTCGCTAGTCAGACAGAAGACCCAGGTACAATATGTGAAGCCCATTTCTGGTGCTCCCCGTCGTGATATTGCTGGAATATTGTTAAAAGCGGTGTAAAACTAACTCGCTCACTCACTCATCTCGAATCTGAGAGACCCGTGAAGGTCCGGGTTAGAATGAACCTTCAGTAACCCAGTGAGGCGACTGACGGG